CTCGGGGAGCTCTGATGAGAGTTCTCTCCCGATAGGATGCACGATCTCCCGTTGGATCCTCCGTGCTCAGTAGGATCGAGCTAAAAGCCACTCCTAGACTTGGGCTGCAGCAGGAGGAAACGAGACTGTCATGTCGGAAACTACGGAATCCCAGCAAGATGAAAAATGAAGAATAATACTCCGGAAAGAAGGAGGGACCCCGAATAAATGGGCGCATTAGAGGAAAAAGAAAGGGAGATCAGCGTGGGAGCGATAACCGCGCCCGGGGAAATGCGACGAGAATATGCACTGCTATGCAGTACGATCAGGGAAGCAAAAATGGAATTTCAATTTTGCAGGAATGCGGACGTCTGATCAAAATCAGGAGAGCAAACGGATCGATGGCAACGCTTGGAGAGCGACAGAGGGATGACAGGTCGGGAAGCGGAGAGAATGAACAAACACGCGCATAGAACATTCGCTCGCGAATGAAATTTCCACCTTCTCGCTCCTTTATCGCTCGTCGACGTCACGGAGGATTCCGAAATCGGGAGGCTCAGAAAAGCCGTGCGACGAAGAATCTAACTTGGCGAGCAAAGGAGCCTAAGTATTCTTGTCGACCCTCCACCGATACCATCCGATCGATGAAATCGGGAGAGATCGCATATCCCTCACCGCAAATGAATGGGTATGAGCCTCCGAGTATCTTGGGCGCTATTTTGACGTAGTTGCTACCTCGTACACAGCGGACAATCGGGAAGAGTGTTTTTAAGGCAACCGAGGAGAATGGAGGAATCTCAGTCAGTGGGCTCGTATAACGTGCAATTTCGGATAGAATCGAGCGAGGCGAAGCGATGGAGAGAATTGCGCGTCGAGTTATCTCGCAGAAATATGCGTGACCAGCTGGTCCGTTTTCTCGCTGCTCATCGATGGATGCCTCGCTCGATCGGTGGATCGATCAATCCTCCGGCAGCTCAGTGATAGATCTGATTATGTTCTTCGAGCGGAACTTATCGACTACGATTGCGAAATGCATTCGGGATCGTAAATGCAACGAGTTGGCGAGCAACAGACGACTACGAACCGCCGGCTCCTTCGCTCGCTTACGATGAGGAAAACTAAGGCGGGAGAGGTGATGAAATATTCACCGACTGGAGAGCCCTGTAGATTAGAGAAACCCACGACCAGAACGTCTCCCCGTTTCCCTTGCTCATCTTCCGTAAGCGAACTCCGCTACACAGGTCAATGGAAGCAACAAGGGCCGTCCGCAGATTTTAGCGCGGCCGTGCATTCGAGATGAAATAGAAGCGGAGCGTTAGCGCGTAAAATTCGGAAAACGAAACTCCAACGTCGAAAGTGTCACCGTGGGGGATTCCGGTCCGTTTTCCTCGGAAGCCTTCATCCTCTTTGAACTGACGCGTGCAGCCCTCAGGGGCCATGTGTGATCCCAGCTGGGTTTCGCAGCGAATAGAAGTGCTAAAACAAAAACACTAAGCTCCGGAACTCATCTCGGCTCCGCCCAAAAAAGTGGTGCTCTCCGAATGAACGTATCCGGCGCGACACTCGCTTTGAGAGCGTAGGTTTCACTTCGATTCAAGGACTCATCTACAGATGACCTTCAGAAAAGTTGATCCCGGGAAGGTTGTCCCCGTCGAGGTCGCACAGACGATTGGATGATGTCATACCATAGGTATTTCATTTCGACTCTGATTCAGAGTTACGCGGCCACTCGAGTATATCCCCAGAGCACCCCGCTCTCACGTGCCATCCCGAAATACGTTGCCTTACGAGAACTGGCTCGTCCCATTGTGGACTCGATGATATGCGCGCTCGGAATCAGATCAGAACGAGGGTCACACCTCATCGGTACGGATGAGTTGAAGTCCTCAATGGCCATGAAAATCGTTCTCTTCGAAGAACCGAGCGCTGAGACCCGGGGAACATCTCGGGACCATGCCTGCGATAGTCCTCTGGATGTTTCAAAGCGATTTTGAGTTTGGTGGCAGTGAACGGATTGTCAATGGACAAGTCGTTGATGATATTTCAGGGCTCCGGATCGTCGCCCGTTTCAACCCATACCGCTAATCTCGCGGGATCCGGCGGCCCAAAAACGGGACACGCCTATTCGAGACCAAAGGTTGACATTCCGACGCTTTCGGGGGGCACGTATACGGGCTCCTGGGTGAACCACCCAGTAGGGCGGCCATGATCCTCTTTCGAGGCAATCGGATCTCGATAGACAGATCTGGGACAAATCGGTCGGGGTGAACGACGGGAAAGGGGTTGGGAGATAAAGTGGACATCGGATCTCCGGAAAGGGGGTGGCTGCTTGAAATATTCGCGTAGGATATTTGTGGTAGTTCCATCGCTCCGCTTCTAGTCGGTTCCTCGGAGGAGATTCATCCATGGGAATACACAGAAAAATAATCATGACGGGAAGCCGTTCGATCTCGCCTCTTATGCCGGAACATTCGTGCACAGAGAGCCGCGGTGACGTCGACAGAAGCACAAGGGAGACGTTCTGTCCTGAGGAAGCTCCGAGTCACGCGAAAGCGGCCCCACGTGTCCGGAGCAAATGTGCAGCAAAACATCCGAGAGCCACATACCGGCACTGGGCAGAGAGCACCGTAAGAAGACCAAGCGACCAACCGACGGACCGAGAGGGGAACAAGCGAACGACAGACATTCGGCCGTTCGACGAGGTCGACGTGTTGCCGCGTGACGTGTTCTCTCGGTTCCTCTCTTGGCAGAACAATGTATTAGGCTCTTGGCAGCAGAGACGAACAATCGACCCCGCTCGGTGGGACAACCTTCGGAGAAGTTCGCTTCGAGTACGTGTGAGGAAAAAAAGTGATCGATTCGAGCAGCCCGAACCCGGGAAGGCGGCTCTCGGCTCGACGACGGGAGATGATCCAGAGGGGGGCTCGAGAGTAGACAGCGATCGCCTGAGAAAGGAATCTAACGCAAGATTATTCAACAAATGTCTCCCGATTCGATCCCGGGCGGAAGTGCACAAAGTAAGGACCCAGTCGAGAAGGAGAGAGCTCACTCAGAACTCCTCGTGGGCGGGTGTACGAGAGGCATCCGTCGGCTTTCGGCTCTTTACACCCTGATCAGAATCGTTCGGCTACACCGGTACATGAACGCTCGAGCAGCCGAGCAAGATTGAAAAAAAACATCGAGCGAGGAAGCGGAGCTGACATCAACAAATATGTCTCTCGTGGAAATGCCGATCGTTTCGAAGTAACGATCAACTTCTTGTTCCGATATCCAGGGCTTCCAGCCGCGAGCGGTTGAAACGATTTCCCGGGGTTTCGACATCGTACTTCAACCGTGAGAGTACGACATCAAAGGAGACCTGCGCCGGGAAATATCGAGGAAACATTCTAGGAAATCTCCGAAGCTACAGAGTTCGGTTTCTCGCTTCGATAAAGAGCAGATCTTCGTAAAAGCACGACACTATGGGCTCGATTTCGGATTTCGTGGCGGATCCTCTATAATTGACTCCGTTCAGAGGAATTGAATTCCTGCGAGACAAATCGGCTCGACAGCGACGAGGGAGATTCATGCAAGAAAAAGTGGACACTGAATTCCGGAAAGAAAGCAACCGCGATCAATCTCCGGAGGAATAATCGCCCAACCGAGCGTAGGAGCCGATCGCAGCCGTATCGAAAAGCTCCGCATAGTGGGGGATAGGGGTCGCGGACTCCGCTCGGTGGAAAACTCTGTTCTGACATTGTCGGAGTTCGAAAACTTTGCCAATCGATAATTTTCGCGATATGGCAGTTTGGCTGGAGGTCGATGTTTTTCTCGATTCTTTCATCCGATCTAGCTCCCCGACTGCGTCTCTGTTGGCCGCCGGCTAAGCTACGAGAAGGTCCAACTCCATGCGTAATTCTGTTTGGCTTTCGACATGCGACGCCTCGTGAGTGCCACGAGTCGTGATCTCACCGAGGACGAAGAATTCCATATGGCGTCTCTCTTATCATAAATACATGAACAGCAGATCCGAATGCGTAATCGAACTCGATCGGTTGCTCCCTGCATGACTCCCCGAAGTCGGAACAGATTCCGAAGGATCGGGTTCCCGGCAGGGAGCTCCCAGGAGAGCGCGATACTAATATCGACGACCGATCAATGCCCAGTCGATAATGGCCGATAAATTCCCATGAATCCGGAGAAATGGTCAATCTATGCGCAGACAGGGTAATGTGCGAGAAGTCGCTGCGAGCTCGCGTCGTTATGGGTAATTGTTGCAGAATTCGCTGCATCCTGGCTCGACGGGGAAAGTACCGCCTCGAATCGCTTCCACTAAATGGCACCCTGGCAACCACGCAAACAGCGGATCGCGGGAGTTGCGACGATGCTTGCTGTGCGAACCGAGCTTTGATCTCACTCTTAGTCCCAACTTCTGCTTCGTTTCCATTCGCCGCTCGGTGCACAAAATTATGGTCGAAGTCGTTTTTATCTCTGCTGTATCCGTCCCCTGCCGCTCAACAAGCGAAGGATTGTTCCGCCGCACTCTTTCCCAACGCAGCCCATATGGAGCTGCCCTTTCATCAAGACTAACGAAACGCGGAAAAAATCTTGCGCCGGATATAGTCGACTCCTTATTTGTACCATCTTGGAGTCCCGGAGAGTTCCACGAGTCATTCTCTGTACCTCGAAGAGAATTCCTCGCAGGCAGAAAGCGAAAATGATGATAACTTGATGAGTTCGCACTCGGGACATCCTCCGGGGCGGCGAACTCTTCCCGCCACGCATCGGTCAACAGCGTCTCGGATATCTGATCCGTTTCGTGTTTTCCCTCTCTGCAGGGCATCGCGAAGCGCGTCAGAAACATCATACGCTGCAGGAATCGACCCAAGGACGACGTGGTATTGGCATTTGCTTAACAACTGCGAGATTCTCCTCTCGCTGCGACCACGAGCATGATGTGTACATATGCTAAGACAGACTCCTCGAGACTTGTCGATATCGAGATCGATAACACGAATTTTAATGTATAACAGGGCACCCTATTTTATTCTCGCTTCTTCCTCTCATGAGCGTCCGCATCGGTCATCTTGAACTGAACCTTCCAACACACGGTATAGCGTACAAACATCGTCTCAATCTTCCTTCTGGGCTTCAACATCGAGTTTGTTGAGTTTCTCAACGATCTCTGGTGGAATCTCGAGCTCCTTGAGATTGTCGCACTCCGGCTCATCCTGTATCAAAAGATCGACGAGGTTCTCACAGCAAACGAGCACAGAGGGATCCTTTTCGACTTTGTGTAGCTCGCGGAGCACGAAATACACTCCGTTCGCTTTCAGATATTTTCTCCCGAAACGCGTGGCGCAAAGCTGATTCAGCGACTCGATGAGCATGCGTCGAATGTCTGGATTTTCATCCATCTTCTTTTCCGAGCCGAGATACTGGCAATCGATAGGCAGTTGCTCCATGTCCTCCTCGTCGAGATTCTTCCCGACCTCGGGTCCAATTAGCGGGAAAAGGAGTCGCGGCAGTAGGTCTACATCGTCGAGGAGCCATTGATGATGCGAAGTATCGAACGTGCAGTTCCGGATCGTGCCGATTGCTCCGTGCTTCCGCGTGGCGGTCGTCGACAGAGTCATGAAAGGAATCAATTTTTCGATGCGACGAGACTCGCGATCCATGAACCAGGTCCTGGCGCTCTCCAAAACCGTCAGGTTGGAAAACAGGAATCCTATGTGGTCCTGAAGGAAGTCCTTATCGCTAGTCGAACAGAACGCGTTAATGAGTTTGTCAGCGTCCGCTTTGAGAATGAGCCACAGCTTGGCCGCGTTTTCCTCGCTCTGCGCGAGGTTCGATAAGATCGCGCAGGCCCGCTGAACGTTGGCGCGCTCCACATCTGCGGCCTCATCAACGAGGCTTCTGACGGTGTCTCCTCTGTCGGCCAGAACGGCTGAAGCCAGGTCTCGATGCGAGGATAAATTGACGAAGGCCTCAAACGCCTTGCTCCTGATCGAGTCGTTCTGTTCTTCCCGCACCAAACGACAGAGCGCTTCCTCGAAAGATCTATTCGATCGGAACAAGTTCAGGCCGTCGTCGGTCGCTGTCAGTCCGACCACATAGCTTATTGCCAGACTTTTCGACAATACCGGAGACGAGGGCTCCAAGAATTGGAACAGTTCGTCGTATTCAGCCATTTTCGAGCGCGAGAGCGCTCCACTCAACACTGAGGATGCCGCCGTTCCCGTCACCGCATTCAGCCCAAACGAACACTGACTGGTTGACCGAGCGCGCGAGCGAGCCAGCCAGCCAACGAGCGACCGTCGGTCGGTGGTCGCCTGACCATTCACCGGAGAAAGAGCGCGCGAGCACTGGTCTTCAGGACTGTCCAATAAAACTGATGCCTCTTAGCGCTGCTCGCTCCCGGCTCGTGCACTGTCCGGTCTACGGCGAGTGCCTATCAGAGAGAAATTTTCCACAGCCAATAGGTTCCGAACCACGTGGTGCCAACGCTCAACACATGGTGGTAGTGTTTAGTGCCACATAAGTACCACAGCGCTCCCCTCCGCCGCGGCGCCGCGCCGTCACTGAGCCCGGCAAGGCATCGTTTCATCCCTCATATGAGTTTTGTGAGCTTGAGTCTCCCAGCCGTCGGTCGGCTTGTTTGTTCAGATGTTCGGCTTGTGTCAGCTATTTCCGTTGTTGAGCGAAGATATGTCGTCCTGAAAACGGAAATGTTTACCAGAAGAAAATCTCTCGCGATGGCTTTCGCCGATGCTATCGCCTCCCATCGTTCCCGCGGTCTACAATCCGGGGAGTCCCCGACTCTGGACTCGAGTTCTCTTTCCGGTGCCGCAGACGTTTTCGGACTTTCTCCATTCCCTCGAGGTCTGAACGCCGCGGATGCCGATGAACAAGCTAGTCCGGGAACGATAGATATATCTCTTCCATTACGGATTCTATTGCCGGACCATTTTTTATTCGGAGACGCCTCTCTCGGGGACCTCATGGAGCTAATCGATGGCCCGCACTCGCCATCATGAATGCATTGCCACATCGGAATGGATGAATATCGACCGGACGGATCTGGACCTGCATGGCCGAATTCGAGGCTCTCGGCGAGTGACGAGCGAGGCGTTTCCCTGATCCTATGAGAGCAGGGGGGGGGGAGCCGCTTGGAGAAAATGGAGCAGACGGAGAAGCAGGCAAGAATGGGGCTCGTTAGTTAGGGCGGGCAACGCATTGTATGTACATACGGACTCCATTCAAAGGTCGCTGTCGAGCAAGCGAATCAAGAAACGGGGGAGGGCAACTCCAATCAAATTCCATTGTTCAATCGCCTACATCCGATCGATTTCATCATCTGCATACAACAACCGCCGAGGCTATTTCGGTCCAAGAGAGCGAATCTCGGAGGTATTTGTAGAAGGACGGAGATCAGGGCAGGGACGACAAACGAACATGGAATCCTGAACGGAACGATCACAGAGACGAGATGGGGGTTCGTTAGTGGGCACATCGAATCAGATTGCGTTTTTCCATCGCGTAGAAAGGAGGCTGCAGAATGCGATAACTTGCCATCATTCTTGCTTACGCCTGCATCTGAGCGCTCCGGCTCGTCTCCGTCGACTGCTAATCGAGCTCGGATCGGGCGATGAAGCTTTCCGGAAATTAGTGACAGCGAAATTAGAGCGATCAAGAATAGCGCAGATACGGCGTTCATCACGGAAGAGAAAGTGAAATCTAGAATTTCCACCGACGAACTTGAACAATTCTCTATCCACTGGATTATTCCCGTGTCTTCCTGAGATGGAGGGATTTGCCACAATTTACGGTCTGATCTCTTCGCTTCAGAAGGAGCACTCCTGACCAGTCTATCCGGAGTGAGCAAGTGAGAGAGGAGGACGCGATTAAATCGTGGGGTCGGGGGAAAATGTCGGGCCTCTCCATCTTCTTCTTTTCCCTCGTCGTCGTCGTCACCGCCATTGTTAGTGTCCGCTTTTGTCAGAAGTGGACGCAAGTACTTCAACGGACTGACTGAGAGTCTCCCAGCGAAAGGTGGGCGCGAGATGAGCGTACGTTCGCACACCTCTTCAGACAGTAGTCCACTCAACTCGCGAGTGGAATACCAAGAGCCGGGATGAAAATTGAATTTAGCTCTGGTTAGGCCGAACCCGAGCAAATCCACTCGCAGTACGGAAAAGGAACTGCAGCATACAAATTGGTCTGTGAGCACATCCGAGACGCGCTATTACAGGTCATGGTCCCGTTAGCGAAAACGTTTTCGTCGTCGCTCCAACCCTTCTCGAACGTCGGCATCAGCACTCGGCTTTCCTCAATCCGTCAGCTACCTAGCATCGCCGGCCGAACTTCGTCGTGTCGGCCCGAGCCTCGATTCGGATTTCGTGCACCTGAGCCACCAACCGGGAAGCTCGGACCAAGTGCGAATTAAGCTCGGCTTATCGGCTCATAAAAGAGCCGTTCCCTTCCCACGCCGATGCCCCTCTCTTGCCCGGAGGAGACTATTCCCTCCGTTCCCGACATCGGAACAGATACTTCGATCGATACTCATTCTTTCCCCGTTCTCTCTCCGCGTTTCGCGTCCGATAGCACGACTTCGATAACCGACGCGGCAGCCCTGGGCTCAGCGTGGCTGACTGTCAATCATCACGACTTGGACGCTGCTCACCGAATCGGATTACTGACAGGCCAGCCCGAAGAAATCCATCGCTGGAGAATTGCTGTGCTGAGCTGAACGCCCCGTCAATGTTATGCTTAGTACGTCGAATGGAATATTCCTTGGTCACGTCGAACGATAGGTTCAGTCGGCAACTCGAGAACTCTCCCATTCGACCGAGTACTCCGTCGAACCTCTCGAGCCGTAACATCTGCAACCGGAGCTTGCGCGTTCGATGCATAGAAACGTCATCCCGGAGAACAGAACGAACTCCACGCCGGAAATCCTCCGAGGTTAAATGGACTCCCCGATTCGACGAAGTCTGCCCGCCTTCCCTAATCAAACGGCAAATTACTACAGCCACAGACAAGAGCTTATCACGCAAAGGACGGACAGCTTTAAAATGCGGGCGAGACCATGCAGTCGCGCGGAGAGGGGATCGAGCTGGATATTTTTTTATGACTCGGGAAAAGGGAATTCCTCAGGTGAAATATTGATTGTTAACTTTATGAGTCGCTCGACATCGCGAAGTTCAAGAATCACCGATGAGAAGAGACGAGCGTCAAGCATCCACCTAGACTGCATACGCAGAATAACGTCGTGGCGCAGTGTGGGGAACCCGTCACCGCTGGGCCGACTTCACCGTGCACCCTCCCGCCGGAAGACGCGAGTCTCGAGACGGCCCGTACGGCGGCATCCGTCCTCGATCGAGGATGGATGGATCGGCTGTTCCGGAGGATTGAGGGGACGGGACATTGTCCGGTCTCCCTTGCGAAAAATGATAGATAACTCGACCACGCACCGATGTCATCCGTTGTTTGAGCTGAGAGGAAGCTCGGTTCGTTAAGACGACGGCGGACTTGTCCACCTTCGAGCCACTCTGTTTCTGCTCCGTTAATTGGGGCAGCTCAGTTGATTCTTCGAAGGCTTGCGTTCAGAGGCTAACTCGTGCGTTCAAAAGGAGACTCGCTATCTTCTCTGCGCAGAGTCCTTCTCGAACAGGAACGAACGAGCACGGGAACAGCTGCCTCCTCCCGGACGGGATCATTCGCCGCACGGAAACATTTTGTTGCTCAGCGGGCGGCGATTCAAGTCAAACGTCGCCTACTTTATGATCGGTGCAACTCTACAGCTGCTGCTGCTGCGAGCTCAGCTGCCACCGCCTTCTCTAATCAGCCGATGACATCTATGTGCATATTTCTCCCAATACCTCGGTGCGCTGCTCCCGGTATTCCTCGACCGGAACGTTGATGCCCGAGATGAAGCGCCTGAGCTCTTGAGTGTGCCCCGCGAGGGAATCACGGCAGCCTGTCACGGGAAACTCAGGGTCGTATACGACCGACGGCGTCGCAGGTTCGAGACATGCTACGAATACCCGAGCTATTCCGTTCGAATGATTATTGCTACATCATTGAATTCCCCGAAACTCATCTGCCAGGAGCGGAGAAAAAGCCCGACCACACCCGGATTCCTCAGGGAACCGGTTCCTCAAGAGGTGAGACTTTGCGTCTTCCGCAATTCGTTCAGTCGCTTCAGGCCGCTGACCCATCGTGATCCTCGATGAGTGAACGTGGGAAGTTAGAAACCGGGTTTCCCGCAGGATCTGGCGAATTCCGTCTCCCAGATCCGTGTGAGGACATCGATGCCGCTGAGGCTCAACGTTCCTCGAAAAGCGGATCCATCGACCGCTCAAATTTCCGACAATGAGCTGCCCGATCGGAGTTTCCCGGACCGCGATCGCACTCGAGGAGGTCACGTCGTAGACGACTTTAATTTGGACCATATTCGGAGGAGCTCTCTTCTCGGGGATATCGGCAGTCTCTGGATGTGTCGTCCGAGACCTCGAAAGCCTGCAGACACGTTCGATGGAAACTTTCGTCAACTCACCCGATGCGGAGGTTGCGAGGATATTTCTTGTTGTCCCTTTCGATTTTGTTCAGAATCCACTCGTTACCTCCATCCATAATTGAATCAGTCTTCTCGTTCCGGGAAAATTAAGTTCCGGGACCAAGCTTTCCCTTCGAGACGCACGACTCTAGCTGGGGAGGCCTTCGGCTTTTCTCGCTCAGGCGATGGTTCCCATGACGCGAGTTTTTCCATGAGTCCCACTCATGTCCCGATCTCCTTCGGCAGGCATGGATCGGGGGCGATGATGGGAATGTGACGAGACTTTGTTAATATTCATGCTTCAGTGGCCTTCGCTTCCTCCTCAGGGTTATGTACAAAACAACGAGGGCGGTACTCGGCCAGTGGGGCACTCAGTCAGTCAGCCACTTGGTCAGCCGACTGTTCGGTAAGTCGGTCGCTCGGCGAGTCAGGCATGTCAAACGGTCGGTCGGTCAGTCAGTCAGTCATTTAACAGTCATTCAGTCAGTCGGTCGGTCGGTCGTTCGATCAAAACAACACAACACACACATCGAAAGGAAAACACTACTTGTTCGTCGGTGGCCTTCCAACCAGTTTGACTGGTGTCGCCTACCGACGACGCGGTAGAGAGAACAAGAAACCGCGCTGGAGACGATGCCACTTACCTAATTGAGTGGAAGTCAGTTGTCCACGACGGCCAGTCGACAAGGTATCCTTTACAGCACCTTTTATAACCTGATCATGAGCATCAGCCGCGACATCATCTTGAGTCCACGGCGGCAAAAATGCTTCGGAACTGATAACACCAAACTCTGTCACCTTTGACGATGGAACACCAGCAGTGGCGGTTCGCCACCACGGCTGGCAGTACGGAATACCGTTCACGCGTTATCCGGCGCACTGGAGGAGCGACGGACGAGCGGAGGAAGAAAACAATCGCAAGCACGCTCGCACGGACTCGCGCACGAACCTCGTTAACGATCGAGTTCGAACACCAGCTCGGGGACGGAAGTGGTTGCGGGGGCAGCAGCTGCCTCCCGCCGAGGGCGCCTACCAGAGCCCGTCTGGCAGCAGCAACTTCAGCGGCAACGGGCGTAACATCATCTCAGCACAATTATCCAGCAAGCGGGTAGCACTGCCGACAGCAACTCGGTTTGGGTACGAGTGTGTCTATTTTCTATTGGCCCGAATCGTAGTGTGGTGGCTGGTCAACTGGAAGAAGCGCACACATCGAGCAGCATTTTCTCTCGGAGAGACCTCGCACCAACTGACGAACAGAGGGACGGACCGCCAACACGGCGCAGCGTTCAGAGGGCTCTTCTCTCCTCTATTTTCTTCTTCGCAGAGGGACGAGAGGCCAAACGAAATCGGCTGCGGGGGCCAACGTGCTGAGGAGAGGGTCCGCCCGCTGGATGAGGAAGAGGCATCGGCAGAGGAGGGTAGCCTGTCGGGCCGCAAGGCCGGCAGACGAGCACGGTCGGACGGCCGGACCGACAGACAGCCGGACAGAACGGCAGGAAGGAAGGTCCAGACCATCCTTGCTCCTTTCTCGGAGACGAGTCGACCCGTCGCCGACGTCCGAAGTCCAACGCCTTCAAAGGCTCGGGTTGTTCTCCTTTCCATTGTCGCTCCGAGGTCCCGCGGCCGATGGAACGACGAGAAATGCACGATAGCATGAATGAGCGAATGAATGAATGAATGAATGAACGGGCGAGCGAGCGACGAGCCGAGTAGCCTCGTACGTTCACTGGCCTCAAGCCAGAGGTCCTCGCAAGGGATAGGGACGCCGCATAGCGCGGGACGAGTTTTTCCGCAGGCGCGCGGATTAAATGCCGCTCCCATAGAGACCTGTGGCCGGAATAGTCGATGGAGCGATCCGATTCCTTCTCCTGACGAAGGCTCAGCCTTCAACTCACGGGGCGACACGCTCCCGATGAATCGCATGCCCACCCTCCCGGAACAAGACAGTATCCTTGGGGATGGGCTCCGGAGCACCGGGGAAAAGGCGGAGCGAGGGAAAAATGGGGCGCCCTGCGTATGGTGATGCAGAGACGCTTATTGGCGCGTCTTCAGAATTCCCAACCCCTGCCAACCCCTCGGTCATCATAATTTACAGCGGACGGACGGATGAGCGGCCCTAATCGTGGGTTCCATTTGTTCCCTCCTTAGCTCGAGCAAAACCGAAATTTCAACATCTGCCTCCTCTGAAGCTCCGGTCCTCTTTCATCAGGCCCCCTCTTCCCTCCGTTCACAGAAGCCAAGAGCGAACCAAACGCAAGGCCACGTGTTTATCGAGAAATTCGAGCATAGGATTATTGGGCTTCTCCGTAGATCCCAGGGTTCTGACAAAAGGAATAAGGCTTCCGACCGGAAGGGGATCTCCCGAGCTTGTAATCAAGACTACAGAGATAAAGGCGATCAGACTAAGAGGCTCAAACTCTCCCGGACCGCTTAAGACCATGCCCGATCAGCGTTTTAGCCGTCCGATTAAGAAGAAGCCTTTCCCCGGGTATTCCATAGAGATATTCCACGAAGGATTAGAGATTTGGACAACTACTACACTTACGACGAAATGGATTCGATCGTCATGACTCCGCATTAGGAGACTCCACAATAGTGGAGCGACCCAGAATGGGAACACGCTCTCCCACCGAAATTCGTCATCACTTTTCCGGAGCAAGACCTCTTTTGGAATACTAGAAGCCCTCCTCCAGTAGTAACCCCTCTCCAATAGAAGCCCCTCGCCGACGGTATTCGAAAAAATAGAAGCCCAGGTCACTATTGGAGGATTCACGGTATGTCCTGACATGCCACTGCGCCGATCGATCCAGGACGATACTGGTCAATGAAATATTCCATTCATCAGGTCGCATTGCGAGCAGAATAGAACATTCTCTCCCTTCAGCTGGCTTCCAATCTCCACCCGCGGTAATTAGCAATTGGAGCCGTCTCCCGCGGAGACGGCGGGTGGCCGATTCACCTCCATTGTCGGGGATCTCGGTACATCGCTCGCCGAATACAGTCTCCTCGACGGCGTCTTGGACATGAAACAAAAGCATTCCGGATGGGAGATTTTCTCTGGGCAGCACTTGATTTTGTGAGCGACACCATTCCATTGTTCGCAAATTTCCTGACGATAACGGTCTCCGTACGCTCTGTTCCCCAGTGAGCGAAACACGCGAACGCCCTCAGCGCAGCGATTATGCTTGCGGTAGGGCACCGGTCGACCTCCGCGTCAATATTCTCCTCATCAAATTCAGGAGGAAATTCTGCTGAATAAGCTCTGGTCACGCTTCCGTACACGTATGTGGAACAACGGATGGCGTACGCGCTCGCTCGACGGCCGGCTCCGCTGAGCGAAGTCTGATCGGATCTGCGTATTCGCACTTCGGGCGAAACAATTCGAAGCTTCCTTCAGTTCATGGGAATGCCTAGCGTCGGGGAGCGTAATCATCAGGTGGATACACGGGGATATTGACTTCGAGAGGAAAGGAGATCCTTCGTCGTGATATTGCCGCGTGCCGAAAACATTGCGAGTCAGACAGAGAAACAGCGCTTCAGGTCCCGAAAAACGAGACGTTGCGGATACGTCAGGTGTCGTATCGTGGCTGACAGTCGGCATTCATAGTACAAGGCGAGTTGCTCGACGACGACGGTGTCTCCCTCAGAGACAGATCAGAGACGTGTTTCACACGATCTTCTCCCTCGCAACGCGCGCCCAGTAACCGAGCCAGCCAGACAGCCAGCCAGACGACCTAGCGCCCAGACAGTCAGTCATTCGGAGTAGAAAGACGCTAAACAGCCAACCAATGAGCGAGCGGAGCATGATGATGTCAACGCCTGTCGTCCCCGTCGACATGCATCCGCCGGTGCTGTCGGCGTGCGTGGTGACAGTTCGCGGCGAGTAACATATTTCACTTGTTCATATAGTATCTATTTCCCTCGATACGGTCGGACTCTCAGTCGGTCGTCCTTTGTTAGGGTGGTCACTCGAATCATCGCTGCGGTCCCTGTGATCTCCACCGCCATGCATGCGATCCACCGGCGAGCATCGATGCCAAACTGACCGCAATCTGAACGGCGAATCCGATTCTGAGAAGCGCGAATCAGTTCGCGTGATCCATGTCTATCGTTTCGAGTGGGAATCCGACCGGGAGAAAACACGAAAAGTTCAGTGTTCTGTGCCGAGCTGCCAGCTAAATCGGATTATCACGCGCTCGCTTTCAGGGATGCGACTCATTACTAATTTATTGCGTCAGGGGCGGAATGGGTCGGCCTAGATTGTATTCAGCGGGAGTGCGGCTCGTTGGAGATGCGTTGCGCTCGACACTTCCTATTTGACGCATACGACCGTCTGCGGCAAATCGGAACCCGACCGCCAAGCCCGCGGATAGAGCCGATCCCTCGAGGACGAGGACTTGTTCAAGCAGAGACATGTTCGAAGTCTCATCGCAATTCGTCGAGATCTGTCGAAATTCATTGAGATCCGTCAGACGCCTCAGATTCCATGTGATCGGATCTGACTGACTACTGATTACAACAACGGTTTCTCTTCTTCGCGACTCCGAAAGCTCCGATCAGACGACGGCCGAAGGTTGAATACGAGCGAGGCGAGGCCACAAATTTCCAGACAATGCGGCGCATCGGAAGGAGAGTTCCGCTTCTGAGCGAACCCCTTGCATGAAAATGCTCTGCAAGGCAACTCGGCTCGTGCATCCATCGCGAAAATGACGCTTAGCCAGCGCAAACCAGGACCCACGGGCTGATGGCGTGCGTCCTCGTCATGGTCGATAATCCTAACTTGAGCGATTCTAAGTTATAACCGAGTCTCCGTGACGCCGACGTCAGAAAGCGATAGCGAGGAGCTTGTACCTGTGATAACCGGATGGCAGATACATATTCATGGGATGTATGGACGGCTTATCGATCCGGCAGAACCTGTCAGCATCGGAGACGATTCCGCTCTCTAGAATCATCGACTTTCCATTCGCGGTCCTGAACGACGGCGCTTCGCAGAGATGGCGCCCGCAGACTGAGAAACCTCCCATTCCAGGAAGTTTTGAGCATCGTCCGTTGAGGTACATGTAGTAGAGACGCATAATTATGTACGGAATTCCCATTTGTTTTCATTTTGGACGATGTCGAACCAAAATTCGGCAGAATCCTCATTCCCGCCGGATACGCGCCTGGGAGCCGCAGAGGAATAGCCGGAGGCTCCGGCTAGTGTCCTGCGCGCTGTTACCTGAGCTTGAGCGTTCTCCGCCTATCCCGAAAGCGCATTGGCAACAGAGACGAAAAGAGCACCGGAGACTTCCAGCGAGGGCTTTTTCGAATGCTGTCGAATGCTACGGTCTCAACTACGCAAGAGACCGTGAAAGCGCAGGAAAAATCTATAGATGGCGTACGCGAAAGTCTCGTGCGATCGATATCGCACGGATGACCAAGAGCTCCGGGAGAATCTTAACACAATAGAAAATTCTTCACAGAATATTGGGAATCGTTGATCATTCAGCATGTAATCGGTGTGGGAACGCGGGAGTTCCCCAAATAATAATCATTACTTTCAAGTCATTTGATGACGAATAAAAGGGCTAGGAATAAGCCCGGAACAATTCAGTTCCACCCTGCAACGACGAAGCTCTGTATCCGACTAGCGAAGTGAGAGTTATCACAACTGCGAAGGAAAAGGCCACATCGCAGCGGTGTGCTACAAGAAACGACAAGAGAGCTCAACTGCGAACAAGAATTTCAGTTCGAAGAAACATCCGAAACACAAAAATAGGGACGGGAGAATATCGATATCTTGAATCGATATCTTCAAGCGGACGTTCAAGAAACTGCGAAGGGGGGGAACAGGACGTGGAGACGCTCTGAACATTATGCTACAGACGTATCGGAACACGCCGAACCCTCAGGGGAAGACTCCGGCCGAGCTCTTCCTAGGTAGACCGGTCCGCACCGAGCTGAGCCTCTTACGCCCAGAGGTGGGTACCACGGAAAGTTCGGATCGACCCGCCCAAGCGAGCTCTTACAAGAGATACTTCGATCAGCGCCACGGTGTTAGAATGAGGACCTTCAAGGAACAGGATCTGGTCTGGGTCAAGGATTTCAGAAACCCGAACAAGCCCTGCTGGACCCCTGCTAGAGTGTTGCGTCACCGTGGTAAGGTGACCTACGACGTGGAAGCAGACGGTCATGTATGGACCCGTCACGTGAACCAGCTTAAGGACTCGGAAGCCGAACCCCGTACCCGTCTTCGGTGATACGGGCGTCCAAATCTCCCCGGCTGATGAGGCAAGAGGCAACAGCGCGACCATGAATGGAAGCGACGATGAAATTGGGTCGGACGAGTTTCGAGATGACAGGGAAGAGACGGCGTTTGAGCCGGAGGAATATTCGTCGACACCCGGGGAGTCGTCAGCGTCAGAAGGCAGTCTGGTCTCGCGTTGGTTCAATGCATTGAGACCCCGGCACCTGATTCGACAGCCCTCGAGACTTGAGCTGGATCCGTCGGCGAAATCTTACGAAGGATAACGGTTCTCTTCTAGAAGGGGAGGTGTGGGAACGCGGGAGTTCCCCAAATAATAATCATTACTTTCAAGTCATTTGATGACGAATAAAAGGGCTAGGAATAAGCCCGGAACAATTCAGTTCCACCCTGCAACGACGAAGCTCTGTATCCGACTAGCGAAGTGAGAGTTATCACAAAGATGAAGCCTAATCGGGAGACTGAGAACTATGGATCTGGTACAGACAGAGACCTATTCCTCCCAAACCGATCATGAAAGAAAACTGCGTGATTTGGAAAGTCGTTGCCACGGTCGACACTTAATTTCCGACAATCATAACGATAGTGTACCTAACGATTGTGCCCGTCGCTCTCCCTGACCTGCGGCGGCCTCGGCGGGGCCCCAGCCGCGGCCGGCCGATCCGGAATTTGGGCCCTGGCCCATGGGTATGGTAAGCTGGTGCGCTCCCCCGTCTGCATGTCGCGCAGTAGCCGAAGGTAAGTGCCGGCGAAAACCCCTGAATCGGGTGGTCGGTACCCAGGCGCGTATCCAGG